AAAAATTTGAGAAGCATTATTTTAGGCTACAAATATGTAATCTTCAAAAGAGCTGCAATTGATCACAATATTGTCCTTAAAAAGAAAACATAGAAAATAAAGAGCAAATACAGCACATATAACCAACTATAATTATTACAGAACTTACTACAGGGTCTAGCAAATTATAGGTTTCTTTGAACATCTTTTGATATCATTATTACAAATATAGACACATATGGAAGTTTCAAGAAGACTACAAATATGACAAGAGCCATCAAAACAAATTTTATTTTAGGCTAATAAGAAATAATTATCGGGTTTTGCATAGAGATTTCACTTCATATTGTTTTTCTTATTACTTTTTCTCTACTCTCCCAGCAGAATAGCAAAGTTTCCTTTGAACACCACACAAAAAATGTTTATATACTGAAATGTTCTTCTATTTTAGAATTATATTAGGGATTCTTTGAGAAGACTTTTATGCTTTTAAAATCTTTTCGACATCTTCTTCCAATACTTTTGCTCTATCATAATATACTATGAGGCAATGACATAAAATAACCTTAGAATAATCATGCTTTTCTGTTTTGAGCTGTGCAAGCTCTTCTTTTATAGAGACCTATCCCTCACCCCTCAAAAGGGCAAAGCTGGTTTAGGCTCCCAGAAATCATTGTAAAAGAACCTGACTTAGTAAATTTACAGATAAATAAGTTATCTGACAGACAAGCATGTGCATGCATTAAAATTACTTAAATATTGATGGATAGGACTTTAATATCTATTTCTAGTCAAAGACAGAGAAGTGAAAAGTTATATTTACAGCTATATCTGATAAGTGAATAAAAGTGGACTGCTTGCCTACTTCTGATTAGGAAATATGGCTTCAACCTGTTGTGACTACTTTCTGTATGTATCCATTAAAAAGAGGTTTTTGTATTCACAAACAGTAAAAACCCCCTTAGGTTTTAAACTTCAACCCTTTGTAGTGTATGGCTTATTCAGATAGTTCAAATAATTAATCCACATCTCATTTATGGAAGAAAAGAGAAAAATACTTCAAAAGTTATTCAGCACCAGAATTTTGTATTACACATTTCTTTCCTCTTGACTTTTAACTCTACAGCAATTGCTCGTGTTCTTTACTGTATGTATTGCACTTCAGATATTAAAAAAAAAAATATGTAATTAAGTATACTGTAGTCCAGATATTATCAGGAACACAAACTCAATATTCCATTTTTTAAAAGTGATATTAAAATTTTGACTTATTACTTTTGACTTCCAGAGTGAGATATTTATTATTTTTTTATCTATCTTTTATATCTATTATCAGTGAAAGCAGCAGGTTTGAAGTTAGCTGGGTAAGAAAGTGCCCAGATGAATTTTATATGAAAAGCTAAGGAAAGATGAATCAAATGTGAGAGGTGTTACTTGCAAATTTTGCCTCTTGCCTTCAAGAGTAAAAATACTCAACTTTTTCTGTATTACAACATTACTTTTAAAAAAAGTCTTGTGCCATCTCTCTTTGAAGAGAAGTTGAATGACCTTTATATAAGTGTGGAATTTTTAATTCAACATATGATCTTTTAAAATTGATTTGCAATAATACTTACCAGAAGAACATCATGTTACTAGTAATTAGTTTGAACTTTATATATTTTTCCCGTGTCTTACAGAAATTATTCAAGCAATATAATTTTAAACAATTTCACTTTCTGTGTAAGTGACACAGAGTGAGGCATTTCATGCGTACGTGCACACATGTGTGGGTAAAAGTTTCTGTGAGGTTATACCTCAGTTGGGCAATTCCATAAGATGCTGCAGTGTACTTGTAAAGAAGGTAATTTACATACTTTTTGAAGACTTAGTACAGTTGTTGTACAATGCCTTCTAACTTTACAATTTTCTTAATTTCATAAGATTTTTGAGCAATTAGTTGCCCTAACTCCTTTCCATTGGCCTCCTATTTTTCTACTTAAATTCCATGTTTGCCAGCCACTTAGAAGAGCCAGACCTATCACATAGGAACGGTGAAATGAAAAATAAAGAAATGTAATACGGTTTCTATGGAAAAAATAGATTCCAAAGCTAGCATCTAAAATCTTTAGTGTCTCATATGAAGACCTAATCGAGGTTTTTGAAACCAGGCCTAAGTACTTCATATTTCTCCAGGGTGGATATATATGTTCCTGCAACTCAGAGCAAATTCCACAAAACCAAGTCTGCATTGTGATAGAGATTTGTCTAACTTCTGCTGTTACCTCAGATAACAGGTCTAGACTTTTGATTGGCTATTTCACTATTATCCAATTCTATTGTTTAGTTATTACAAAATCAGAGGATCAGAAAATGGCTGGTCTCAGAAGGTACCTCTGTTCAACCCCCTTTCAAGCAGGGTCACCTAAAGCTGTTTTCCTAGGATCGTGTCTAGACAGCTATTGAATATCTCCAAGGATAGAGACTCCACAAGCTCTTGGTTCCCTTGCTAGTTCTGAGCTACCTCATACTGGAGAAGTGTTTCCTGATATTCAGATGGAACTTCCCATGATTCAATGTGTGCTCATTGCATCTTGTTCTGTTACTGGATACCACTGAAAAGAGCCTGACCTCACTCTCTTTGCACTCCTCCATTTGGTTTTTGTACACATTGATGGGATCAACTCTGACCCTTCCCTATCCAGACTGACCCATGCCAACTCAATCAGCCTTTCCTCATATGTCCCTTAAAAATTTCATGACCCTCTGTTGGATTGTCACTAGCAGCTCCATATTGCTTCCTATTTTGCCTCTGTTTTTTTTTTTTTCCTTTACTTATGGGTGATCTATCTTATTTTTCACAGAAAATTTTCCAATCTTGGATGTTTTCCACACAGGAACATGATTTTGACTTGTCTATTGTAAGATCTAGCTAGTCAGTTAATATAACATTAATGTTTTGACCCAGCTGGACTGAGAATAAAAATTTGATTGAATTACATACTGAAGAGCTCCTAAAATCTAATCCATTTGATGGGACACTATCTAAAAAACAAATATTTTCTTGTTAAATATGCTCAAACATGGGTGAATTTTACGCATGCGTGATAATACCTTATTTAGAGATTTTGTTTTTATTATAGTAGTATTGGTATAATGGCAATATTTGGTGAAGGGTTATCACCTTAGATGTACATTTTATTTCTCTTTCAGTCTTGAAATGTTGAGAATGTGCAAAAAGTTATTTTTTAAGACTGAGCAGGTCTACCATATTAATGAATTGTGCATTTCTGTATGTGTTGTTCCAGTGTTACTGTATTGTTAAATGAGAACATAATTTCGGAGTTGTTTTGTGAGTCAAATTGTATGGTTTAGATTGTACTTCAGTCTGCATTCTTGCTACTAACATTGCTTTATATGGAAACTCTCATATGGGGAAATTTCTGGCAGGACAGTTTTGCTTTCTTTTCTCCTATGTACTTTACTAATGTGGTGGAGTGTTTTCAGTAAATCAGAGTAATCCCTGCAAACCCAGTAAAAGGAAGAAATGCAATAGTTACATGAGATACCATTGGGATGGTAATTTGAAACATAAGTAAAAGCAGATTTCCTTTAAGTGTCTCACTTTCAGAGCTGGATATCAGCATCCCAAGTACATTAGGTGAAATATTTCATTACCTTTAATGTTGTTGGTAATAATGTCTATCTACTGACCTATAAAAATGTGTAACAATTAATACTAATTGCCTACTCAGCTGTATTTGCAGTCCTGTAAGTTCATAAGTATTTACTCATGGTTTATGTTGTACAACTGTAAAAGACATTTGGTAAGAACAGCAGCCTGGTTGTAGAGGGGTAATTTAAAAAGTGATCTTACAACTGCAGGTTTTGAAGTCACATTTTGACTGTTTAGATTAAAATGGCTGATCTTGCTTATACAGCATTAGACTACTTTGTTATATTATTTGGTTATGACTCTTACTGTTCTTAATTGAATAAGGCTAGAGGGAAAGGGCAGTTTTTGTGGCTTGCTTGTGAGTATAGTTTTTTGCATTTGATGCATGTCCTTCTTCCAAAGCTTCTCTTCTTCATTTTTTAAATATTTATTTATAGTTCTTTCTACACTGACCCAGTTCTGAAACAAAATCAGTTTTATGCATAAATGAGAAAAACAGCGCACAACATTCATTTTAGGTAGAAAAACAGTGCAAGTGATAATAATTTCCCAGACAAGACCAGTCTATTCTAAGAAATCACTTCTTGAATTGTTTTAGCCTCCCATATTTCCGGTTTTGGGCAGTATCTGCAACCTGAGCCAAATTTTGTTAAATTATTATTTGCATATGGATGATTTCCCATTGAGGCACAGGTCTAAGACCAAACTTATTTCATCTTTGTATTATACCTGATTATAAAGGCATGATACAAGCCCTCTCAGACAGTAAATACAATCATGTTTATCAGATGGAAAATAGCAATGTACTAGAGTTATTATGATGTTTGTACAATGGCTGCTAATAGTAATTCCTATGGTATTTTTTTCCAGTAAGACCAAAAGGATGCTTCTGACAAAGAAAGCGTCTCCTTTTGGTCAGTTGGGATGGCATAGTATTCATAAACACAGATTTAAGTTCAGATTTCTTCAGTTAAGTTGAGTGTTATTCTTAAAAATGCAAAATAAGCAAAAAGATTCTGAATGGATCTGTAAATATATCTTCTTTCACTATGCTGAGGTATTAAAATGTCATGTGGTTAGCTATGTGATGTTCTCCCCTGCTAATGTATGCAGAAATATTTTTATACCCTTCTGAAAGAGAGAGACAGAGAAAAGCAGGATTTAATAACAGAAAAAAAATCTTGGTATGATGGTATCAATCATTTCTGCATTAATAATTATTGTGTTGCCATAGTTTTGAAATAGTTCCCATTTCCAATAAGTATATGTATAATTATATAACTCAAGTGTATTATAAAATTTGAGCATAGTAACATAACATCTCAGATATTGAATGAAACTAATTTTGTCTTTCTCTATTTTTAAGATCCAGATTTTAAGGACCTTGGTGTTTTGAAGCCATTGCCAGGTTGGTATGTTGGTTTTGGGTTTTTTTCTAACTTGAAGGCCATTATACTCTGCTGTAGAAAACATTTTTGTTTGCTGTTCAGGTTTCATTTTTTCTGGTGTTTTGTTATTCAGTTTGTGAGTTTGAGATGGGAGGACCTGAAGGAATTGTGGAATCTGTACAAATTGTTAAAGAAGGAAAAGCTTCTGAAACTGAAGCAGTAGACTGTAAATGGTACATCCGAGCACCACCCCGATCCAAGGTCAGTCCTTCATTAAATTGCTGATTTGCCATTTAATTTAAGAAATTGCCTTTTCTAATATATTGTGCATTTCTTAGTACAGTCAGATCTTGTTTAATAACTTTACAGCTTGAACTGTAAACTATTTTTTTTCCTTCTGCTGTGGAAGGGTAATTTGTCATCTCAGCCAAAATAACCACCTTTCTTCATAAATGATTATTTGGGCAGTACTAATGTATATTTTGTGCCATAAGTAATTTTCTTAAATTCATCTTTAATTTTGTTCATATTTTTAAAGGATCTATGTGTGCTTTAAAGTTGGAATTAATCTTATAATTTAAATTTTCAATATGTTTAAATACCTAACATAGCGACAACTAAGGGAGCGCTGCTGGCTCCCTGAGGTCATCTTTTTTTCTCATCTGGGAACTGTGAAAATGGACATAAAATAAATTAATGTTCCTCCATATGAAGCCTTTAATTCCTTTGGTTTAGAGACAGAGACAAAAAGAGTATTCTCATTTCTTTTCCTCCACAGTCAGCAAGCCAGGGTTTTGTAAGAAACATGAGAGGGCTGCAATGAATTAAAAAATACTTTTCTTGGATTCCCCTTAATTTTCTCCCTTATCCATAACTTATCAGTTATGATATGCATTAATTGTTGCTGGCTACACTACCACTTCTCCCCTCTTTGCAATAGAAACAACTTTATGCCTCCCACCTACTTCCATTCACTGTATAAAAGACACCCCACAGTATACTTTTTCTAGTTGTCTTTATTGGACAGGAAAGGTTTTAGAAAGTAGAATTTATATATGCACTACTCTCTGCTGTCTTTAAACTGATCAAGGCTTTTTTTTGTATAACCTCAGTGAGAAGACTGCACTGAATATGTAATTGTTTCATCATCAGAATGACACATGGATGAATGTTGAAGGGTTCTCCTCAGGAAAGGTTTTCAGAAGAGAAAAAGTCATTAGTATCAGCATTTTTCTATTGGAAAAGTATAGGAAAAGAGCTGGCTCACAAAGACTACAGATAAATGATTTCCAGAATATACTTTCATCTTATAACTTTTTTTTTTTTTACTTTTGGATAAAATTAATATTGATAGAGGTTTTCAATTAAGTAGATGAGCTTCCCATTTTGTTACACTAAGTAGTGAAATGAAATTATTGGACTGATGAATGATTATTCCATATGTTATAGGCAGTTTATATTCATTCAGCACAAATCGCAGTATCAATATGAACTTCAGATGGAGAGCAGCCCAGCTGATAAGGTTTTGGGGATTCTGGTGGATAAGAGGCTGAACATGCCCCAGAAATGTACACATCCAGCCCAGAAAACCGGTTGTGTCCTGAGGGCTCTGAGCAACTGGATTTAGTTGAAAACATCCTTGCTTACAACAAGGAAGTTGGACCAGTTGGCCTTTATACATTCCTTCAAATTTAAACTATTCTATTTAGGTATTAGTAGAAATGAAACAGACAAACACAGAATTGTTATTAGAATCAGCACAGTTAATTAAGACAATAGCATTTCCTCATAGTCTAAATTCAAGTTTATGGTTGATCATATAATGTAATTGTGATATTCTTACTTGGCCTGACTCTGAAGTTCTACATGATACAAAGCCCTGCTAAAAATCATAATTTTACCTACCTGCAGTATTTATCCATCCTTCAGTTCTGATGTAAAACTCCAAATTAGGTATTTATGTAACTGAAAATACATTGTGTATCGGAAAAATGCTAAACTACCACTCTTAGTAGAGGTCTAAATATAAAGTTCATTAATTCTTCATAAACTTCCATATCTGCATTTAGTTGTGCTGCATTCCAAAAAGTATATCCTAGCTGAAGGGCACCTGGAATGGAGTGCAACAAAAAAGTTTTAGAAAAATGAAGTAATACTGAATGTTATTTGATGTCATCTAGAAGATTTTGTGAAGGATAGTAATAAAATAAAATAACAGGCTCTTAGAAGGAAGAAGGAATGTTGTACCTGTGTCTGTAAGATTACTCAGGGTCCTATACTCTAAAAGAAAGCTTCAGACTAAATACAAAGGAAAAAAATTCAAACATCGGGGAGAGCTGATTGGTTCAGCTGGCATTATTAGTGGTCTGAAAGTGCAGGTTAGATAACAACCTGTGAAAAATGAGAAAAACATTAATAATCCTACCTTTAGGTAGAAGGCTGAACTGGGTCATCTCTTGATGGATACTGCTGTTCCCATCTTACAGAATTACCTGTGTGGAGAGACTGAGCAATATAAAAGTATATAAATCAGTGTTTCTTAATGTGGAGTTGAAAGGTTTCACAACAAGCAAAAAAAAAAAGATTTTTCATGCCTAGATCAATCTTTGGGGGGGTAAGCCCAATTTAGTATTTGATCTTGAGTGTGGTTTTCAAACAGATATATTTATGTACACACAGACAAGTATATACATGCATAGACACACACATACACATACAGTCATGGTTTCATCATACTGGGACAAGTTGAAAAATATGCAGATATTAAGGAAGGAGGAACAAGTGGATAAATTTTTAAGAACTTTGTATGAAGTAAGGTTTATGATAAGATTGTTTATGGATTCGCTTCAATTGAACTAGAATCTACTGTCCATTTTTTATAGTCAGATTCCTTTGTCTCTATCTAACCTTGAATTAATGACATATTCAGTGCAGTTATTTAATGACATCATTTTTATTTATGTCAGTTTGCACCTATGAAAACAAGCTCTCCTGCAAAGAACAGTGAGAACTCAGTAGACATCTTTAAACCCACATGTTCCTGTACCCTGGGCTGCACAGTTTGTTACTGGGAATTATGCCTAAAAGGCAAGTTTCTCAGAGGGAATTTGTGTTGGATTTTTTAATCTTTAGTTTCTTAATTAAACTGTGCCAGAATGTGAGTTGCTGGCAATTTCATTTGGCGTAAGCTCATCCAGTCTAAGCTGTCTGCAGAAGCAAGATGCAAGTCCTTCCCTTGGTTTCCAATTCCAGATTCCAGCCAAGTCTGAGCTCAATATATGAGCAATGAGATCAGCCAGGAAGTGTATACTTAAGGACTCTAAACTTGAGCTTCAGACTGACAGTCTGGGTCTAATGCTTCTATGCTCAGTGTTCTGGAATGGGACAGAGAGCAGAAAATTTGTTGCACACACTTAAAAGATAGCCATCACTGTTTACCTTATATCACATACACACACACCCTGACACAGACACGCACACAGAGAAAAATAAATCTGAAATGCATGCCAAATCCAAACATTCTCTAAGTGAAGAAAGCAGTCTGAACACAACTTATATGCAGAGTGAGAGTCTTATATAGTGAAAGTGACTAGTTGTAAAGTCTGTGGTTCTTGTAATCATTCAAAGTCAGTTCCTGCTGAGTAAGACAGCTGTGAGTTTTGAGTGGAGTAACACTGCGGTTCTGCACATCATGTGGCCACAATTAGTATTCAGAGCAAGAATGGAAAATTAAGAAGAGAGCTGCTGACTGAAAGTGCCAACTCACCCAGAACAAAAAAGTTCTGGAGGAATTTCCTGATCTGAAAATTCTTCAGTGTAGAAGAACTTCTTTCTTTGGGAACTTCCTTCCCAAAGAAGGACGTGTATAAGCTTGTTGCACAGTGATTTGAAAAATTTCAGGGACATCATTCGTTGCAAGCAGTGGATAGAAAGTAAGAAAATGAATAGAATTATAGTTTTCTTGCTTTCTGTTAACAGTGAAATATTGGAAGATAATCTCAACAAGTATTTTTCTATGCTGGATGGGACAGAATGGTTTGACAAAGCCCCCAGGAAGACAAAACCATGTTTGTGCTCTCTTTGGTGGGTAACTTCCCCAGCAAAGTACCATTCTGTCATGCTTGTTCTTTGAGAGGCTCTGTAGAAAAAATAACACAGCAGAACTTGATAGTAAGAGTAATAAAATATTTACAAATATGATATTCTTATGTTGGGAAAAAATCAGTAAGCAGTGGTGTTAAAAACACCATTTATTATCAGACGTTCTCAGGCACCTCAGAAAACAGAATCAAAAGAGGAATTAATTTGAATGTAGTCCAGTGGAAATAATCTGTTCTGGAGGAATAAGCAATAAGTATATTTAGACCGAATGAATAGTGGGAGTAGCCTCTTTATTTGCACCATGAGAAATAAAATGAAGTTACAAGGTAGTTATGCAAAGTGATGTCTAATTCTCTTGCTCAACCTGAACAGGATATTGGATAAAGGTTATAACATAAGAGATTAAAGAAACATATAGTGTCAATTAATTAGTACCTAAATTTGACACATCATGGGATCATCCTTAACCCTGAGCTGCCAGGGAGTGGTGGCATCTGTTTCAAGCAGAACCACTGGGGAGCAGTGGGAAGGGGATACACAGCACATGGGAGGGGGCTGGGATGACGGAGGCCACAGTGCCAGGATATGACTAATGAGACTGGGACAGACCTGGCCTTGGTGGCTGGACTTGTCCAGGCAGTGGGGCTGGCCCAAGCCCAAGCTGGCCAGCAGTTTGGCAATGGACCAGTCTGGGGTGGTGAGGAAGGAGGCTGGGAGTGGGGCAGTGGGGCTCAGTGTGATCAAGACACTTGTATGGTTACTGAGGACTTGCACTGCTGCCTGGCACGCTCCTGATCAAATGCAGGGATGACTCTGGTGCCAGGTGCCTGCCTTCATAGGGAGTGCAGTCTGGAGAGAGACTGGGCTGTTGTACGTGCGTTTCCTAGATAGTCAGGAGGTGAAAACATGAGGTGAAGAAAATTGCAGAGCTGTGAGTGAGTCTATTTAAACTGATCTGACTAAACCAAAACATTTTCTGCTCTCCCATGTGAAGTGGAAATTCGTGCTTTTAGATGAGATCTTTAAGAAAAACAGTATAAGCGGTTGGCACTGGCAGACTAAGATACACTAATTTTTGGAGGCTTCTTAATCAGTTGTAGAAGAGAAGCTTTAAGTAGTGCACTAAAACTTAATAGGAACCTTTTGAGTGGTGATTCTTG